GGTGGAACTGGTTATTATTGTTTTGGCTTGCCATGTGCAAATCCATCAGATACACAAGGTTATAACTAGACAAAACACACAGATATTCACATATCACCACATATCTTTTCTTCCTCTGTGCAGCAAATTTGCTCTCATGCGCATGTAGGTATTGGAAACTCGCTCCTACTCTCATCATGTACGAACAGTCTGGCACTATAGAAAAATAATGATGTGCCGTCCTGTTGGCTCATTTATCAGCATGTTTTACAACAGGCGCCGGGTGGAAGTAATTAAACTCTGCCATCATTACAATGAGCCAGGCCCCCCTCTTAATAGACACCCAATGAGACACTGGAGGCTTGCCTGGTAATTGTAGCTCCAACTATTTCTATCTCTCACTTTCGTTGTCTGTGTGCATGTGTGTGTGTGTGTGTGTGTGTGTGTGTGTGTGTGTGTGTGTGGCCTGCCTGCGTGTGTGTGTCTGCAATCCTCTTGTTTCACATGTGGTTTTAATTAGTGAAGAAAAAGAGCTGATAAGCAATTGAGAAAAAGAGAAAATGTGAGTGAATTACACGAAGAAGGTGAGGGCCTTTGATACATGTGTTTGACACTTTTAACAAAGGATTAGCAAAATTAATCTATTCAGTAAGAAGAAAAGTGAAGCAGACGCTGACATAAAAACCATATCAGGGACTCAGAAGTCAGGATCTGACACATGGCTGGACTAGTGCATCACGATCAGATTCATTTCAGCACTGTACATTTTAAATTCTTACAATTTTACAGTTTGCTACTGTATTGTTATGGTTGTTGCTATATTATCACCTTACATGTGAAGACATCACTATAATCAGCCTCTCCACACCATCTGAGCAGACCTTTTGCAATGCATCATGGTCAATGACAATATGATTATTGAAAGATCACCAATCAACATATTTAGATCAACCAGCAAATTATTGGTCTAGATCAGAGGTTCTTAAACTGGGGTCCGTGAGAGGTATCTTGGGGGTCCTCAAAAAATGTCACTAAATTTGTTAATTTGGTTTTTATTTTTAAAAATGCATGGAGAACAATGAACTAATAAAACCAACATAATAAACAAAATAAATATACATATTCCCATGACATTTAGGGGTTGAAATGACAATAAATCATCTTTTAAAACAGCATGGGGTTTATGAGGGGGTCCCTGGAAATTTTTTTTATTTTTTGCTCTTGTAAGGGATCCCCAGACCTGAAAGGTTTGAGAACCCCTGCTCTAGACCAGAAATTTAACGTCTAAATAACCAAATGTACATATATTTCAAATGTTTTGTGCATATTTGTATTATAATATATCAGAATATTCATAAGTATAATTGTCATGTGGTGTGGTAAATATTACTAGGATGATTATGAAGCTTTTTTTTTTTCTTTTGATAGTTCTAAAAGTTTCAGTCACAAACAAGAGTACTGCTACTGGGACAAAGTCTGAAACTTTTCAAGCTCAAATGAACGGATTAGACAAAAAACAACAACAAAAGAAAAAAGGAAGAGTGCATAAGCCTTCTCATTCAATAAACAGATAAATCCCTTCCACAGATAGCCCAGCACTTTTATGATTTCTGAAATAATTTAATAAAAGCACAAAATCTTCCTCTCTGGGGACCGCGCAATCATAGAGCAATATAGAATGCATAAACTCAGTACAATGTGAACTCTCTTCTGCATGTTCTTTTACAAAAGTGTCCTTGGATATCATTAGGAAACTGGGCTCCAATGATCACTCTTTTTAAATTAATCTTTACTTTAATAATAAAGGAAATTCTGCAAATAAAATCAATTTAAATGTGGTCTGTTTCCAGGACCAAATCAAATGACTGTGGCGCATTGACTCGCTTGGTCTCAGATATTTTAAGCTCATCTCTTTTACTGAAACGATGATGGGCAATTTTCTCAAGGATAGACCAGCTATTAGGAAGCCTGATCGGAGATTTATATTAGATTACCTGCCAGCTCACTAAACGCAGAGGTTCCTTTACCATACCTGCACCATTTAGTATCACTTACAGCTCTAATGGCACAATTACCCTTCACCAGTAGCATAAATAGTGCTCTAAAGGAACCTTTTGACGTAAGGCTGATGTTCCAACGCTCGTACATTCTCCATTCAAACCCCCATTTAGCTCTAACTCCAATGTCTGCACTCAGCCCCTCAAAAGCCTCTGATCACTGGATATCGATTAGGCCCATAACCCCAAATGGTAACCCCATCCCTTGACACCAACCTCGTATTTTTACTACGCTCTCACCCTTATCCCTTGCTAATCAAATAGGACCTGTCTGGGCCCTCAGCACTGTACCAATTAGCTGGTGGAACAGGTCTAGGTCTGATGATAGAGGTACCAGCATAGGTGGCAGCAAACACGGCAGTATCCAGGAAGGCTGTAAACATCCATTAGCGGTTAACCGTCCCTACACATTTTTCCCTCCTAAAGCTCTCTCATTAGTGCAGTGAGGCCTGACAGGTAAACAGCACTAATGGGAATGGTCTATCAATAAACCTCCTGTGTGTTAACAGGAATTGCTAGCAAGGACCGAGCGTACAAACCAACTGTGATAAAGAGGAGGAAGGGCAAATTTTCTTATGAAATAGTCATAAAACATCAGGAGGAGATTATTAGTGATAGTGTTTCTGGACATTGGAGACTAGGTTGGTTGTGTATTTTTGAAGACAAGAAAATTAGAAGCATTACTGTCAAGAAAAGATTCAAAAGCATAAGATCTTTTGAAAGACCCTTTGAAGTGACAATCTTGGTGTAGCTGCAGAATGCAAGGAAGGATACTCCAAGGAATGACCTTTGGTGCTTCCAAGGCTACGTTTGTGTGTGAGTGTTGTGAACTGTTGAGTATGCATCATCCATTTGTGTTGATGTTTACAGTAACTGTGTCTCCACTCACAAGGGAAAAAGTGAGGAAAAAACTGGAAGGGAGCGACTGAGATGGACTAAGGAAGGAGGAAGAAAAAAGTGAGAGTAGGAAGAAGGGCTGTGGGGGGGCTAGGGATAGATGAGAGAGGGATGTTATTTATGTTTAGAGCAGGTTCAATCCAAGTTCACCTTACCAGGAGACGTCCCCAAGCAGTGGCAACCGCATAGACGCTGATGTGTGTGTATGAGCATATGTGTGTGTGTGTGTGTGTGTGTGTGTGTGTTGTGTGTGTGTGTGTGTGTGCATAAGCTCCGACTGGTTTATTTTTCTAAACATAAACATGAGTGCATATGTGCGTCTGAAGTGAGGGTCAACCGATGGGCAGTAAAGTCTCAGAGAGGACAAAGCACATTGGTAGGATGCACAACATGGTGCATTGTGTATGTGTGTGTGTGTGTGTGTCAGGGGCCCATTACAACAGCTGTGGGGCACTAAATCAGCTGTGATTCTGCAGTGGATAAAGCCAATGATACACGGATTATATCCACACTCAGTTTCTACTGCTCCTTTATCCACAGACAGATAAAGAGTTGGCACATGTAGAAGCATATGGCTCTGAAGTCAGGACTACATGCAGGCCATACTGCTGTGGAGCTGTTAGGGTTCATTTTTGGTAGAATATAAGCTTTAGAATGCATCTACAGATATATGTTCATCTTTGCRTCCTATGGTGTGTTAATCTAGGCACCACGTGTTTCTTGTTTAGATTCAAGTGTGTATTTCCACCACTGGCGTATAGATAGACAGATATGCAGACATTTGCAGCAAAAGTTAACTCCCATCATTAAGCAGGGCCCTGTTAGTGCCGTTGTCTGTAGCCTGGAGTTGTGTGGACTCTAATCCAACGGTAGTCTGCTCCAATAAACATCAGCTTATCCATGTTTTTGCGAGCTCACATTTGCTACTTCAGCTCCTGCCACAGAAACCCTCTGGCACACAATTTTTTAAACTTTTGCTAAGGATGAATAATACCACCGCAGTTACTGATAAAACTGTAGGATGACCAGAATATTCTAAAAAAAAAAAACACGAAATAAATTATTTTGGAATAGATCTTAGAAAAAAAACGAAATACTGTTTTTTTGTGCTATTATTACCTAGATCCAACCTTCTCCTCATCCCCAGGCTCCCACCCAGTCCTGCATTAGACCTCCCCTGTCTAATTACAAGGCCTGACCTCCCACAGGTCGCCTGAGCAAAGGCCCTCCAAAGATCAATATTCATTTTTTTAGATCTGTCATCCGCTTTTGACACTATCGACCATGTTGTGTGTATGCTCTTCCCTTATGATTTTAATTCATTGGTTTACCCTCTACTAACTCCTGTATCTGTGCTGCAGTTCAGATGTACTCAGTCGTATAACGAGTTAAATATTATCTTTTTTAAAAGCGTTTTTACAAATACTTCAAAAGTGTTGAGTAATGTTTCTGAGAAACTATCTCTTTCTCTTTTAGTCTTTTTAGTTCTCCCCACTCCGTTCCACCACCATCCCTCACCCTTTAAGGTGGTATCTCACAGGGCTGCAACTAGTGAGTGAATGGCATTCATGAAAGACTCCTGAATTTCTCATAAGGTTCTCAATTTCCTCTCATGTGTTGAAAGGCACACAGTTTGTTGCAAAAGTTTTGAAGATGTTTAAAAAAATGTATGTGACAGCTTTTCTCTTGAGATAGACTCAGAGTCATTGCGGGCATCTTCGACCTGTCTCGAACCCACTTGAATTGTGATTGTGATTTCCAATCTAGCTCAAGTTCACCACAGCTACACTTTGACACCTGCATGAGAAATCCTATGAGAGAAAACATTCTAAACAAAAGTCCAAGTCTAAAAAACACAATAGTAATAACTGATTAAAACTGAGACAAACATTAAACTAGAATTATACAACTTATGTATTGATTGTCTTAAATAGTTGAACACAGATACGTTAATAAGGAAAAATCTAATCCAATAAGATTACACTGCATGTATAAACTAAGCAAATTACTAATAAATACAAATTTKTGCATCAAATTTTTTAATGAGTATGTTGTCCTTCCTTGTAGCATTACACCAGGGATGTGCAAGTGGCGGCCCTCAGTGAGGAAGAGACATCCAGCCATGGYTAAGAATGGAGGAAAGAAAACTGGACAGGTACAATTGCATGTTTCAGGTGAAATGGGAGGTACTATTACACAGAATTTCTATATGTTTAGTCTGCTTAGACACACTGTCTGCCATGAAGGATTGCAATACAAATCACCACTACAGCATGTTGCACCAAGCTAAATATGAGAAGTTTACTGACGTCACACATACATAAACAAAAGTGACTTTTTACCAGAAACAAAACCATGCAGGAGTCTGCACTCAAGGCGTCCTATGCCGTCATACTTCAGCTCGCTAAAGTAAGTGTTTATTTTTTGTTTGCTTCAAATGTTTTGTATTCATATTTMTTAAACAAGAATACAACTGTTATACATGCATTTGAGTATGAAATATGTTCAGTTACTG